TCATAGTGATCTCTTTATCAGTTGGCCTCAAAAAAAAATAGCTAGATACAGAAAGGTTTGTCTTAAAATGTTTTTAATTGACATGTTCTTATTAAAAATGGGTTTTGATGGTAAAAGTGTTTTTCCTAGATGTTTCACCATTGCAGCTGTCACTGACTGCTGTGAACTAGAGTGAAAAGCAGGTAGGAGAAAACCAGGTACATATTTCCTCTTTCCCCTACCAAGCATTCATCATTAATAGTGTTACCGTCTCCCTGGTGAGCCTGACAGCTACCAGGTTGGTTTCTTATTTCCCGATCAGTGGGGCTCCAAGCCACCTGTGTGTTCAGAGGAACATTGTATCATGACCCGACTCCAGCTTCTGAAACACTGCAGGGCCTCTTCCCTATTATCGCCTCTGTGGGGCCGTGCATGAACAAGCCTTTGAAATTCAGAATGCCGTTTCATCGGATCCTGCCTGGACTGATATTCTCCTGTAATTCAAAGATGACAAAGTCTTTCTTCATACATGCTCCTTCTAGACACATTCCTTTTTTATATTAAAAGAGGTGTCCCAAGTTGTTCATCTCTGTAAATCTGTAGGAACAGCTGACATCCAGCTACATAAAGAAATACTGTATTCTTGACCTGATGCGTTTGACTCTGAATCTTACTGCAGTACAAAAAATCCAACTATCAGCACAACCACACAAATACAGAGTAAGAGCAGGCAGCAAATGATTATAATACACCATATTCTAAGGGGTTCATCTGTCATAAATTAAAATCTATGATGTGCTGTTGTTGATTAAATGCCTATTACTTATTTTTAAAGGTTAATTATTTCTTCCAGAAAAGCTTTGTGGTATTTAGTTAGTTAATTGTGGCTTTGCTAATAAAAACATATTTTAAAGAATAACCACAAAGCAATCACATTTAGCTCCAGAGCTTTATTGTACTGTAGTAAAATATTACAATATTTTCACCTTCCACCTTCACCTTCAGGGGTTGTCCACTCAGTATTAAAGGAACTTGCAAATGTTCTTATATAAAGGGTCAAATAGATTGATAGATTTTTGTTTTTTTTTTTACTTGTGACATCCCAGTGCCATGCTCCCTGGATAGTGAACCATACTGCCTTCTTCAAATAAAAAATTATTTATAAATTACTTTTAATGCCATGGGCTGCACAAAGGGGTTTACTTATTAATAAAAACATTTCTACATATCTGACCCCTAATTGCTGTCTCTTAACTAAAATGCTAAAAATCTGATTGGATTTGATTGGGTTTTCTTTATTGATCAAAGGCTGAGAAATAATAGTGCAACAGAAAGGCAAAGAACACAAAATAGACAATAACAACAAAAGCAGGGAAATATTCTTATTTACAGAAGGTTTTAAAGATATATTCAGTGCTAATTAGGACCAGTGATAAGTAACCAGTAGAACAAATAAACTATGCGGTACGGTAAACTTAAACTGCGCAGTGTGCAATGAACAACACCTCAGTCAGAGGCTTTACTTAAAAGGGTAAAGGCATGAAATGCAAAGGTCTTCTGTGTCTGTCCCTTTGTCAAATTAACCATCTGGTTTGATGCTGCTCTGAGGAAGCAATATATTGGGGATCCTTTCACTCCGGGAGCCCACCCATAAATACAATACAATAAAACAAAAAATTAAATTGTTGTCAGAACAACAGTAGGTCTGGGGCCTCTTTTGAGCCCCTATATTAAATTCTGCTACTGTTTGTTGCATTGTTTCGATAACAGCAAAAATGTAAAACAAGCACACCACAATACATGCGGCAGATGCTGCAGATCAGTGATTCATTTTTTTGTGTGCTCACTGACAGCCAGCTCTGATCAGATCTGTTCCACAATGCATGCTGCAGTTTATTGGTGAGGTTATCAGAACATATTTATTGGTGTTTTAAAAAACAGTTATTCCCAACAGGGGGTACTCGGACTCCTCGTGGTCTGCAAGTGCATTGCAAGGGGTACATGAAAATATTTGATTTCTCAGGTAATGAAATAGAACACGGCTGGGAGCTGTCTACTTTGTCAGGACCAGACAAAAAAAATTTAAACAAGCTTTTATCAACCAAAAAGTATGTTTTTCTTTTATGTTTGAGTTCACCTTCAGGTTTGCCCACTCCAAACCAAGCAGGGGAACAGGCTGGATGTAGAGAGCAGCCTGGAATCTGCTGTTTTCCCACATCTGAGCTCATCGAAGTGAGCTCACCTGTCATGCATGTTGAACAAAAGTAAAACAGATGGAGTGAGTGGGATTATATTTTTTGTTCAGTGTTTTGTTCTCAATTCCACAAGTTTAAATATGATTATTGGGGAGCTGTGATTTTGTAAAAACAGATGTATAATATGATTTTATCTTTTATTTATATTGATTCCTTCCTTTTTTTTATTAAAGTTGGACAACATGCCAAAAAATTAAACACTCAAGTTAAAAACATTAAATAGAATACTTTTTATTTCGTAATCAATTACTGTACATTCCACTTTTGGCCAATCATCAATCCTTTTGACTAAAATGAACAAAGGGGTACACAAGTCAAAAAAAGGTTGGGAAATGTTGCCGTAGATGGTGAAGCCTTTTGGAAAAACAAGACAAGGGAGTTGGAAAAAAAAAACCTATTTAGGATTAGAGATATTTTTAATGTTTCAACCAAAAGCCAGTTTTTAGACTGTTATGTTACAGCTTTGAAGGTTTTGCCTGATTTCTCTGAGTTGTAGTCCTTTCTACCAGCAGTGGGCAGCAGAGTGCTGTTTCAGAGGGCAAAACTTTCTGAGCCAGATTTAAATTGTCTCAACTACTAGCTGCTTGTGAGAAACAAACTTTAACCTACTTTAAAGTTGAACGGCTATCTGTTCTGTTCCGCTCAGTGAAATCTATGTGTGTTCTCATTATGAGAGCCAGCTGCAAATTTGTAAGGGGGGGATCGAAGGAAAAAAATCTGGGTGGCTACTGCTGCCAACTGCAAAGCCTCTAACTGACAGAGACAGGTGCTGGAAAAGTCAGGCTTTTATGCCAAAACTCTTTCACACAGTCATCTAAGCACACTGACACATGCAGGCCTTCAGACAGCCACTCAAAGTGCATCGTTTCAACATGAAGGGATTTCACTGCTCTGATTCCTAGCACTGCAACAACTGCAATAACTTTGATCATGCTTGTTTGATTAAGTCCTGTGCTATCTGGGACTAGAGATCCTAAAATGAAAGTAATAAACCAGATCAGGAATATACACTCTTCATCCATCTCTCCTGTAATGCACTAATGCCATAACTTCTACCGATGTGCAGTTTGGACAACAACTGCCTCTTTTTGCAGCAGACATGGTTTCCTGAAGACACTTGGATTACATTGATCATGGCTGCCCTTCCTTTAGATTTCAGGTCCTGCTGAAGTAGCATTCTTTTCTTTGACGCCCTCTCCTGTGGAGCCCCATAGATCTTCATTCTCTGCTCTGACAACCTGGTTTAAAATAGCATGAGATCAAACGGCCATGGCTGAATGCTGCAAATGAGCGAAGGCCACATATTAGAGGCTACAGGAGGAAGACTTCCCCAAAAATCTCTGAATGTCATTAAATTAAACTTTTAGCAGAACAGATGACTGAAAAAAATCTCCTGCCGAGCGAGCCCCTTAATGATGAACTAAAGATGATAATTAATCTCAGATGCTTTCCATTGTAGCCTGGTGTGCTGCTTTCAGCAGAGCTGCCAAGCGGATATCCTGGCCTTTGAAAACTTTAATTGAAAAGTTAAGTTTTGAGACATGGATTTAAAGTGGAATTATGATCAAATTAAATTCTGGTAGAAAGGACATGTCCATACCACTCCAAGGAACATATATAAGCGCCTCTCTATATAACATGACATACATGTTGAATCCTTACATTATCTAGAACTAAACAAAACGTAAAAACTGAACTTTTACCAATTCTGGTCATTTACAAGCAACTACAGCACAGATAGCTGTTACAGAAAACGAGAAAAGGAGTTCACATACCTTTAATAATGTTTAGTGATATTGTCACATGCTTAGACAAAGAGGTGAATATCATTTCTAAAATATAAGTTTGCATCAGTTTTTTTCTTTTATTAGCAATTAACTGACATCAGATAAATATAATTTTATTGTTGATGAGAAGCTACATCTCCAGACTGATCGTTCAGTTCGTCTTGATAGAAATAACCTTTCTACAAGTGCTGCTGGCTCTAACTATCATGCATTAATAAAAGCTCATTTTGATATCACATAGTCTTCATTTTGGAATATCTACGTCTAAACATTTTGAAACAGGCGTAATTATTCATCTAATCTATTTTAAATGGGTTCTAGATATTTTTGGAATCAATGTATTGTTGATGCTTACCTGCCTTATGTAGTTTTCTGCAGCTAGTTTTTTGAAAATGACCTTTGCACTTTACACGTGAACCAAAAGAATGTGTTGTTTTTTAAACTTTGCAGGTTGTTGAATATTTTTAGACTTGAGGACAGATCCACACCATCTGTTTCCCTGTTCCGACTCTAAACTAAGCTGCTCTTTGCGGCTGTCTATAGTGTTTTTTTAAATTTGGTCATTAGACTCTGCTAATGGTTCCTTCATCCAGATCTCGACAAGATGTAATAAAGTATTAATTTATCTCAGATTGATGTATGTGAACAACTGAATAATGAGAATTGTTGCTTGAAGGAAGAAGAAAGTTCATATTGAGACTCAGACTTGCATAAATCCTTCAATTTTTTTTTATCTCTTCCTCTGCATTCTTGTCTAGTTGTTTTGAAAAAGCTAATATCCTCACTTACTGTTTCCTGTCTTCGTCCAAAGCAGCTGCTCTACTTCTCTCGTCATGCCTCTCTCTCTCTCTCTCTCTCTCCTCCATCAGTCCTGTGAGTGACAGCACATGTGCTGGGGTTCATTGGAGGCCTGCTGCTGAAATTCTAGCCCCCTTTACCCCACCACTGTGAGACATAGCCAAGCTATGGACAGGGTGGAGCTGTAGGACACAGATGCTGTGAGAAGAAAAGGAAGGACAGACGTGCATAGTAGAAGGACAGAGAGAAGGGTGGATAGAGAAAGGTTTGAAAGTTTATGTGATTTGGCCTGTTTTTGTGCTGTGAAGCCTCATAGACTCAGATCCTTCTGTGGTCAGAGGTCTGTGCAGCGTGAGCTTCTGGGTCCTGGATTTGAGGATGGCTTTGTGGGTGTTGATGAGCTGTGTGCTGAGTCTGCTGGTTTTTCAGGTAAGAAAAAAAAATATTATCTTGTGCAGTAAATACAGATGAGCAAAATGTTATGGCTGATTAAAGTTTGGTTGGTCTTTTGCATTATGTTAACAAGATAAAATCTTTCTTAAATTGAGACATTTCTGGTTTTACAAACAGTTTTCGTTTGTTTCACTCAGCTCTGTATGAAAAAAGAAAGGCACATCCTTTCTTTTTTCTTATGGCCAATATCAAATACAAGTCTTAAGACATATCATTGGACATTACTCTGCTTTAAAGACAAGCCATTTGCTCTTAAGTTGTAACATTGAAAGCGTCTGACCTCTCCTTCCCCTCCTCCTGATTTTGGTCCTGCAGCTTCCTGCTCCTGCAGAGTATGATCTTGTTTAGAGAACAGACTCTTGCTGCTCTGCTCTTCAGATATACAATTTATGTTTTATACCTGAGTGATGTCCTCAATTGAACATCTACTTATTTTCATCCATGGAAGCAAGACTCTGGCTCTGCAATCAGAGCTTTCAGCTGAACTAAACATTTCATCTGAGGAAGTGATGAAGTGCTCTGAAGAAGACGGGACCCCAGATGTGTTCAGAGAGGGTTCAGGGCATCCTGTGTCTCCAGACGCCACAGTGACATTTAAAATGGATGTCAAAGTAAACTGTCTTATTGCCAACAACACTTCTAAATATCATCAGTCTTTCACTGTGTTTGGATCAGTAATTCAGGCCAGGTTGAGCAGATGAGTGAATTGGCTTCCAACGATTCTTGAGGGGGAAGTTCTATGATCCATGCATGTTGGAGTGTCTCCCATCTTCTCAGTTACTGCAGATTCTCCTGTTCGCTAACAGCTCCTGCAGCTTTCTAGTGATGCAGTAGTTAAAGGATCACTGAAAACTGGCCATGCTTTTGATGTCCTGTGTCATAGTTTTAAATGAACCTGGAGAAAAAGAACTATTAAAACATTGGAAAAGGCACCTAAGGCATGAAAAGTTTACTTAGAGTAACCTTTTCTCTTCATGTCACACACTCAGTCTAATCTTAATCTTACTATTCTTTCATAGAAACATAAATAAACAGCCTATTCACTCATTAATCATTTTTTTCTTTCCTCCGCCAGGTCAAGTTCTTCAGACATTTTTAGAAGCAACTAAATATACAGCTTATGAAGTCTTGTGCTTATAGTGGGATACATTTTGATTAAAGGGTTAGAGCTTTGAATGAAAATATTGTTTGAAACCATTCACATTTAAAAAAGGATATTTAAGATATATTTGATCTCTAGATCCTTTTCTTTAAGGTTTAAAAGTTTCTGAAGTATGTTACCTTAAAAGTTAAAAAGGCATTACGTCGCTTTTTAATGAAACTGTCGCCTTTTGCCAAATCACAGAGCTGCAGCACTCTTCTGCTCGTTCTTGCAGCTCCTATGCGGACTTGACAAGCTTTTTTTTATTACTTTTTGCAATGTTTCAATACTTGTTAGGTTGGACCCCTTTAACATGGACGCACTTGACATCACATCCACCGAGCAGTGCGGGAACTTCTGACTTGAAGTAAATTCAGAGATCATAGGTTGCAGGCTTATAGATGCATTGATGCTGAACTACTGAGGTGTCAGTCTAATTATCAAATGATGTTGTAGTCGTAAAGAGTCAAATAAAAAGGCTATTTTTTAACATAATTTTCAGTAAAAGAATACGAAATGTCTTTTTAAATCCTCGCTTCTCTTTTTTGTAAAAATTATGGTATTATCGATCTTAAAGGGGGATTCAAAATGTATAAAAATAAGATTATCTTCTCCACATTTTTTGACCGTTATAGGTTTTAACTGACGAACATTTGCCCAAATTCTAAAACCATAGAAATTGCGAATATCTCTGAACAGACAGCATCTAGAGCACTATGGTATTCTGTGATTCTTGATCAAATATGGATTTTTGTAAATGTACTTATTGTTTTGTTGTCAGATGTGCAGAATGTTGAAAGAACCTGACATTCAAAACCTAGACTAAATTATTATTTTTCTTATTTTAAATATACACCTTGCATTAGCTCTGATAAAATATCCACTTCCCACTTTAACTCTGCTCTGTGAAATGTTACTGCTGAATATTATCTTGCAAAGTGCAAAGCAGCAGCCTGTGCTTTTATTGTTCCATATTTTAATTATTCTTTAATTATTCTGTTCTACTCGTTATACTCTGACCTAGGTGTTACTTTTCATAGCTGCACCAAGACCTGACAAGTCATGGGGCTTTCTTATCATGACATACCGGTATTCTATCTTCTCCAAAAGCTGATGTCCATACTGTTTGGGGGGAAATTGCTATATTCAAAGTAGAAGTTACAATTTCTGCATGTTTAATATTGCATGAAATAAATATATATATTCCAGACATTTTCCCTGTAAAAAACGTTCGCTGATCTTCTAGATGTAAAACCTATAAAGATTTTAGAATCTAAATTCACATCACATCAGAATCAGCTTCAATCTCCTTAAATTAGCTGGTAACTTTTAAGGTGTTCTTCCTCTATAGACATCTTTCAAGGTTTTTCTTTGTCGCTTATTTCAAATCCTTTCCTGTAGAAGACTGTTGTGTTTGAGCTTAAGTTAAGAAAGTTGGGAGGAAAAAGAAATGACAGCCCTACTAAATGGTGTCATTAATATTATTGCCTTAAAAACAAATAAAAATCTCCAGCAGGACCTTAAATTCAGCTTATCCTTTAGCTGATGAACTCTTGTTTGCAGAAAACGTGTTTGCTTGTAATCCAGAGGTTCTGAGTTAGAGCCCCACTCCCACAGACTGCCACTCTGGGTCCTTGAGTCAAGACCCTAAACACCCTCCCCACCCCCACCCCCCCACTGCTCCCTGGGTGCTGCATAATGGCAGCCCACTGCTCTCCAAGGTGATGGGTTAAATGCAGAGAGTTCATTGCGTTGCTCTGTACTTGTGACAGTGTAATGACAATAAAACACAGTACCATCTCATCCCTTTTAAATTAGGTGCCTTTTTATTCCCCAACTATTCACATATAAGTTAAATGTTTTGGCACACAACATAGTTTTTTTATTTTAAAATATGATATGGACTGAAATAAAACAGATTTCAAAGAAAACAAAAGTAGATTTTTAAGAACCATTCAGTTATGTCGACGATCTAGACATGATGACTCTTTAGGAGGAAAGTTTAAAAAAAAAAAACGACTCAAAAAAGTTTCTTGAAAATGTTTGAAAGTGTTTTTGCCATCACTGCTCTCGACAAAAAACACCTTTTCTCTGTGGCTTTTAACACCTAGCACCTTATCTTTTTTTTATCTTTTGTTCCTTATATCTTTTCCCCAACTTTATTGATTTGACTGTGTGAATGTTATTTGTTTTGTTTTGTTTTATTTATTTATTTCTCTACAGCACTTTGGTCAGCTGTGCTTGTTTTTAATTGCTTAACAAATAAAATTGGATTAAATTGAATCATCAAGTATGATTCACAGATAACATTGGAGAAAAAACTTCTGTTTCCTTATTAAATAGCTTCTCTAATGCAAAAGCAAATAACACTTTCAATGGTAAACAAACAATCATAATAAAAGCCACGAAGCTATTAACACCTGTCCGTCAAGCTGAAGCTTTCATCTGTGTCACCTGATATGTTAAAGGCGAAGGGCTGAAGGCTGCTGGGTGTGTGTCGTGGTGATGAGTGGGCAGCCTCCACAGCTGTTCCCAGCTGCATACGTGATGCCATTTGTACCACTCTGTAAACCCCCCACCCACCCCGCTGTGGAAAGAGTAGAGTGAGGTGGGGGTTGCTTCTGGACCATGAAATCAGGTACAAATCAACAGTGTGCAGCAGCGACCAGCTGGCACTGAGTTTTCATTCAGCGGAAACAATCAGTCAGAGGATTTAGCGTCTGATTCCATGGCCCTGCCTGGTACCTGCAGGCTGTTTTTAACTGTCGAGCATTTACAAGGGCCCAAAGGATATAGAGAAGACATCCACTTCATATAATAAGTACCACGAACAGAGAAGTCTATTTCCTTTGCCTCATTATTTTTCACAGACTGAGATATTGAAGACCAGCTGGTTGTAGCACTTGATTTGAAGGTCCTACAGCAGAGTCAGGCGGATACAGGCTCAAGATATGGTTTCCATTTGTGCCCTTTCATGTTGCCTGTTTAAAGTTTTAATCATTCGGGTCAAAGCAACCACAAACGGCTTAAACTGGACTTTTCACTTTGATTTTCCGAAGACATTTTCACACTTTCCAGGAGTCTTTGTCAACTCTTTCGTCTCTCTCTAGAGATGTTGGAGACATTGTAGTTGGAGCGCTGCTATATTGAGGAACATGGAGGTCAATCCTCCCAGGCACATTTCAAGTCAGATCAAACTACTTCACTTTTTCAACAATCAGATACACATTTTAGTAAGTCTATTCTTTTCAAAAGTGAAACTTATGTTAAATCAATAAAGATATAATGAATCATCTGTTTACACTGTCAGGTAGGATTGTCTCTATGTGGCTCTTCTATCCACTGGGATTATTACTCTCTTTTACAAGGATGTCCTGCCCAGAATAAAAGGCAGCAAAGTTCTCTTTGAAGCCTTGACCTCCCTCAGCATTCATCAAGCTCAGACATTTTCTCCTTAATGAGGGGACACACTTGTTGGGGGACCATAAATAGAATAGTCTGCCCATGCTAAGCTAACATTATATAGCAAAGAGCTTGTGTATGTGGGGCCTATAGAGAAAATAACAGAATGGTTTGAGGTGTGCACAAAGAGTGACTAGCTCTGACACCAGCAGGACCTTTTGCTAAGAAGACAGTCTGGCATTGCTCAGTCATGCAATACATTCAAATTTGCATGACAGTTCATTTTCAATATAAGATATAATCTGGTTGTCAAAGAATCCAAATGAATGCTACATTGCAAGGGCAAAAAGATTGCATTTTTAATGTTTTGCAGGTGAGGTGATGTGTGCAAGCATTTCTGTCTGCCTCCTGATAATGAGCCAAGTTTTTGTGCAACTGACAGTTTGAGAGTGTCCATAACAGAAAGCTGAGGTCCTAAGGCATGGAGTTGTAGGTATTGGTGATAATAATTGTTCAAAAAATAATAGCAATGATAGCAAAGATGCATATTAGATCTAGGGAATCTACTTTAGATATCTAAAATGTGCTGCAAACAAAAGTTAAAGAAGGAAAACTAACTTTAAAGATTATATATCAACCACGGAACCTGGAGAGTTGTCTTTGTCTACCCTTAATCTACCTAGTCTTTACAATTTGCTCTTTACAAAACTTAACTTTGACATATGTTTGAAGTGTAAAAAGAAAGCTATTGCCATCATAAAACTGAATATGTTACATTAAAACCCTGTATGAGGTTTCCCATAGATGATAAAATCCCTAAGCTTTATCTTTCTTAACACTCCTCTGACAAGCCACATTGGAAAAGCAACCATTCATGAATCTGTAAAGGATTATTCCCTTTTTTGTTGCTGTGGGACTAAATAATTCCTAAACTAACTACATTATCAACTCATCTAAGAGGCCAAGCTGTAAAATGCACGTGGCGTTATCAACAAGCCTTTCAGAGAGAGACCCTTGCAGGTCTAATTGGTAACATAAAACTTTGCTGTTACTGCGTCCTTGTCTGGTAAAAACATTCTAACAATGTGCAGATACACAGAGGAGCCGCTGTCCACATCACAATGACATGTTTTCTGATATAGAGCGCTCTGAAAGGAAGTGTGTTAATTTACAGGCTGCCTGTTTTGTACACTTTGGTGATTGTAAGCATTTCTCTTCACCTCTATGCTTCAAGCAGCGGAAAAGCTGGAACACAAAGTAGCTGGTGTGTATAATGGAAAACTTTAGTCCATCAAACTTGGAAACATAGGATATCGTAACTCTTCCACAAAATGCTTTCTTCTCCAAATAATGAGTTGTCTGAACTTATTTTTAACCGTATGATTTTTTTTCCTTAGTTGTTCTTTTTTTTTCTCACAGAGGGATCGCAAATGTTAAAGCATCTGCAAAATAACTTACTATAGTTGGAAGGGTTGCTTTTGGCAAAAATGATTTAAACTCTATGTTCTTCTTTTCTCTGATTAGTGATCTCCCACATGAAATGATTAAATTTCATCTCTTTATGCCAGTGAAATATCCATCTGATTTTGCTCTTTATTTAACCACCATAGCTTCTTTAAATTACTTCCATTTTCCCTTTGTGGATAATATACACACATAAAAAAAACACTGAATAAAACATTTTTTGTGTGTGTTTTTCCAATACAAATCTAAAATACTTTTAGTTTTGCTCCAATTTACCCAATATTTAATCCTTTGGGGTATTTTATTGGATTAAAAGGCTGGTTTTGAACAGATTGAATATTAGCAGGAACATTTATTTCATTGCTTTTGTATTTTTTGTATAGCACTGGATGCTCCCTCTATTGCCATAGACAAATTGCCTAATTGGTTTCCATTATATAATTGTTGCCTGTGAAAATGTAAATGTCAGAATCTGCAGGCTTTATCTCAAAGAGCTAATCTGTTATTTGAGAATAATGTGAGTCCTCTTGATAGTGCAAACAATGCAGGTATGCATTATACTGATACAACAAAATTACTTTTATTATTACTTCCAAACTTCTGATTACTCATGTCAAAATTTGAGGTTTCCATAGAAATTATTTTCTTCTAAATTTGAAGTCATTTGAACTTAAATTGACGATCTCTCAACAGAACTGTACAGATTTGTAGAATTGAGGTTGTGTGTCGTTCAGAGTTATATGACCAGGTTGGACTTCTGTCACCTAAAAATGTAATTATTCAGCTCCAAATTTCAATAAACAATAGTCACACTTTGCAAGGTAAAGTGTCCAAATCTTCAATATAATCCATATCAATGCAGTCAGATTTAATCCAATCACAAAATCGAAACCAAATCCAGTTATATTCATTAAAAAAAATTGAATTGTCATTTATCTATATTGACAAAAATGGTGTGATGGTCTGCTTCTATATCTTCTTATTCAATTTCCTTTTCATCCTTTAGATTTAATGCTCATTAAAGTATTGTTGTCAAAGTATTGTTTTAAATCCACTATGCTGATTCCTCAAAGTATTGATTTAAAAGCTGGTAGTATTTTCATTCAATCATACTCCACCCTTCGGTCTAGTAAGTGCTAATTCTTCCATGAATAACCCTGATCTACACATTTTGTTTTTATCATGTTGCAACTAATTTAAGTGTTGTCAGTGTAAAACTTGTAAAACTTCAAAATTTCCAAAAATGTAGGAAGATTTATGAAGTTCTATAATTAGAACCTCAACAGGGAATCAGCTGTTACTGACTTTGAGACAGAGCAGCAACCCTGAATGCGTGTTACACCAGTGGAAGCAAAGTTTAAAATATGGAAATAAATAACCATGGGGATGAACCTGTGAGGGTGACATGCCCTGCTGGAATGTGGGTGTAACATGTTAGAGTGGGTGGATGTTGATGGTAGAACGAGTTAAATGGGGGGGATATAAAATGGTCTAAGATTAGCCTCTCCTCTGACTCGGCTTGCAGATGCCAGTCATGGTTGCCGTTCTTCTTTGCAGTGTGTAGCAACAAGACAAATGAGTAGCAGCAAACTGCACACCTAAGAGACTAGCTGGCATCTCAGCCCATTCACAACTCATAATCAATGTGATGCAGATTTAAGGAATACGTGCATCATCAGTATCAAGTTATACATGAATGAGAACACAGAAATGAAATGGAAAATGTTTTTCTTGTTTTAAGGATTCCATTTTTTGAGCTGTTAAACATGTGGGGAAGTAACGCTGACTCCAGTGAAATCCCAGAGACGAGCAGGAAGCAACCAAAGGAAATGTGTACATGATCTAAGGCGTGGGAGTGGGTGTTTGGTGGATGCTCATGCATATAGTGGACATGTGATCTCACAGAGTGAGAAAGCCAGCGAATGAGCGTGGCTGTGGAATTCCTACGCCGGAGTAAATCCGTAAGGTGATCCCAAACTCCCAGTCAGGTGCAAAGCTGCAGCATAAAGGGGAATTTGTGAGTGCAAGCGGGAATGCGGGTGGGAAAGCAGAGGATCTAAATCCATTGTCGACAGCTGTTGTGTGAGTGTGTTTAATATGTGTGTTGGTGTGTGTGAATGCAGTCCTGACAGCAATGCGATGATGGAAAGCTTGTAAAAAGAGTTTAAACATGTTTTCTTTTCCTGAAATTATTTAGTACCCCGATAAAAGAGAAGCGAGAAAAAAAAAATTTAGGAGTTGAATGCTGAAGCTGTCTCCTTTGTTCTGAACAATCTTACAGACCCCAACTTTCAGTTAAACTCAGAATTACATCCATTCTGTCAGGCCGTGGGGAATATAGAAACACAGAAGGATATTAAACAGCTGCAAGTATGTGTAACTGTATAATGTTTTTCTTAAATTAGCATAGCTCCCTGGAGTTTAAAACTTCGCTTCAACTTCAGCTTTGATCTAACCTGCTGCCAACCATATTTCCTCCAGGTCTGCTGCTCTGCAGAGCATCAGCACAATGAGGCAGGGCAGGACCCTAAGACCCTTTACCTCTGGAGAAATCAAGGGAAAGGGATGAAGAGAGTCAAGAGAGACTGGATCATCCCCCCCATCAGAGTGTCAGAGAACAGCAGATATGTTCCTGAGAATCTGGTCCAGGTAAATATGTCACATAAAAGCATTTACTGGAGCAATTTTCACCACATCAATCGATTTTACCCACAGGTCACAGATGAATAAATGTATCAAACCAGTCCTATTTTTTTTTTATGTTCATTGAAAATGAGTCACATTTTCATTAAGTCTTAAAATATACTCCAGATCATAAGTGAGTTGCTCTTTCTTTGGCAGATTTTTAATCACTTTTAATAAAATCTCCACACCTGTGTGTTTACCAAGCAGCTGAAGACATAGCCCTAGAAACCATTTGGGAGAAATCCTAGAGATTTGTTCCACAAAACCATTTTAAAGACCCCAGAAAAGGTCTGAAAAGAAAATATGGATCATCCAAAGATTTGACATGGAAATTAATGTGGCAATGTAGAACATTTTATTATGCTCCAATCAACTGTCACTCACCAAGATTATTCTATAATTTTGAATATAAAAAGGGGAGTTAAAAGGGAGTTTTTCCTCTCCACTGTCGCTACAAGCATTATTGGTGTGACGGATTGCCTTCGAGTCAATGAGTCAATGCAATCAACTGGTTTTCATTCGATAGAAAACTGAACCAGTCTGACTGTATGATCTGGTTGAATTGTCTCTGTAAAGTGCCTTAAGATGATGTGGGCTGTGAATTGGCGCTATATAAATAAACTGCATTCAATCTCTAATAACAATTTCAAGAAGAATGGCTATTCATTATTTATCAATATGTAATTTAAAATCCTTTTTTTTCACAGTTATGAACTCATGTGATATTTTACTGTAAATCAGTACATAAGAAAATGTATTCATTAAAAACAAATTTAATGGAAATAAGTATAATATTTACCATAGAGTTTAGTGGTAGTATTTAAGTATGTGTCCCTTTACAAATGCCTTCTTTTTTGTAGTTTTTCTCATACTTGAATTTTACACATTTAACTGATTTCATTATTAGAGAAAGAAACACTGAAAACAGTTGTTTTCAGATGTTTTCCTTTCATTTAACACAGGAGCAAGTCTATTCAAACTAACATCCAGCTATGTAAAAATAAAATATCTAAACCTAATACCTGAGAGGCACTTTACAAAACTATCCAATCTAATCTGTAGATATATATAGTCACTTTGCAGCAAAGCAGCTGAATCACTTAATCCATCAGAGAGATGCAATAACCCCTTCAAGAGGTTGCTTTTGATACTATTTTCCCCCCATCATACCAATGTATAACTCCTACACTGGAAAAAGTATAACCTTGCTCAAACTAAAAAAAAATGATGTCCAGATATGACATCAAAAATATTTGACTTCACAGAATCTGAATTTAATCGCTTGTTATGACCTGATTATATTATGTTGATGTAAACAATAATACTGCAGTTGACACAACTTAAAATCTTTGCCCTATTCCAAATGATTTTCTAAACATTTCAGTTGATGAACCAAACTAATACTGACATTGGACCAACCTGTTATACGTACTTTTAACTAAATTAACAAAAATTAATGTTTGTATTGAAACCAGTTAATTTAAATATAACCAAATCAGATTTTTCACATATCATTTGACTTTACTGCAAAAATAATTTCCATTTCCCATCTTACAAGCTCTATACATCCTGGACAGGTTGCCAGTCCATCACAACACAACCATTCATGCACACACTCACACCTAGTGAGAATTTAGAGAAGCCAATTCCCTTAGCAAAAGGTAGTTTATTCAAGTATACTAAAAGTGCACTAATTTCAAAATCAGGCAGTGCACTTATAGTTTACTTATGCTAAACTATATTTCATATACTTAACAATAGTATAGTGTACTTGACTATACTATTGTTTACTTTATTGTTTAAAGTTAAACTTAGAAATGTCCCAATTTAGTTCAAAGAAGTATTACTTTAGTAATACTTCAAGTACACTAAACGTACTTGTTCAGGTATACTTTCTAAACTTATACTTAAGTATTCTTAAAAGAATTTACTTCAGGTATACTACTTTTTGCTAAGGGTTAACCCAAAAATCATGTTTTTGGACTGTGGGAGGAAGCCAGAGTACCTGGAGAGAACCCACACTTGCTCAGGGAGATCATGCTAACTCCATGCAGAAAGATCCCAGGCCAGGAATTGAACCCGCAAACTTGTTGCTGCAAGGCAGCAGTACTAGCCACTGCGCTCCTGAGCCACTCTGCTGGATCAGAGACTTTATCACTTGCTATGATTGCATGCAAATTCCAGTTCTTACTCAAACAAAAAGAATTACCTGTATAAATATATACATATTGAGAGAAATCAAAAACTTGGTTTTGGGTCTTTGTATGTGTATTTAGTTCAGGTTAAATCAAACTTGATGTCTGAAAATTAAAAAAGAATGAGTTACACAATTAAATAAATAATTTTATCTAGTTTAGAGTGAAAAGCATTAGTTTGAATGAACAGTTACATGTTACACTTTTTTCAGTGTATTCATTTACTCTTTTTATGCTTGTCTTTATTCTGGATTAAGCTGTAAAACATTTTTTTTTAGCAGACACATCTGATTTTAGAATAATTTAGCAGAAATGACCAACTAATTAATTAAATTATTTATAATCTTCCATAAAAATATAAGGAAGCTGTTCCATTTCACTGAAAAAAACATGTGCTAAAATTCTGACTTACTATTTTACATGTTTCCAGATGTGAAAAACATGTAACTCATTCATGGCATCAGCAGTGGGGATAACACGTGTGCGTTGTTATAGGTGCTGATCCAGACATGAAAGCGAATCCATTTTGTTCTGTGTTTATTATGCTTTGTTCTAATCAAATTATCTAAAATTTTCATCAAAGTGACAGATGAGCGTTTCACAGCGGGATTGACGCCGGTGTTTAATGGACAGTTCAAATATAAACACGCTAAAAGCATTATGGACAGCTGGTAATTATGCTGATCTTTCAACACATGGAGAGCTATTGAGTCTCTTTTAAAAAGTAAGATCTAACATATACAAGTCAGAGAAAATGGAAACAAAATACAGAAAATGAGTCCTTGCTATTATTAGTTTGAAATCTCAAACCTTCGGAGTTTAAACACTCCAGGAGTAACTTCTCCATGTTCACATCTGGAGTTTGGAGCATATACTTTACAGTCCAGCTCCCCAGTTCCCTATGAGGTTTTAATGACCAACAATTCTTTCTTTATTGTTTTTCTGCCTAGATCAAGTCAGACAAAATCTTCTCAGGAGTGGTGATCTACAAGTTAGAGGGACCAGGGGTGGACCAGGAGCCCAAGGACCTGTTTGAGATTGATGATAAAACAGGAATAATCAGGAGCAAGAAGCCGCTGGACAGAGAGCGGTACAGCAGCTTCACGGTAAGACCTCATTAAAGAGCAATCAGCCAGAGGTACTCACTGCATGCCACAGAGCCGGCTCTAAGAGTTTGCATGTGTTTCCATTTCAAGTTTCTGTCTAAGATTACATATCATTGTGTCGAACACTCGTACAAATGGTTAGAGGTCATTTTTACAGAGCCAGTATTGGCATCATGGGAGAGTTGCTGGAGTGTTTCATGAATGTACATAATCTTTATTACTCTGCCAAGACATCTCTTATGCAATCATCGATATGTCTAGAAATAAACAGTATCTTCTGTTGGATGGGTTCTTTTTTGGAAAGCTTGAGAAAGAGCTTCATAAATCAAACAAGTAATTGAAAACATTTCTTGCTGTGTCTCTGTATGTAGCTGAAGGCGTTTGCACTTTCCCCCAGTGGAGAGAGACTGGAGAACCCAACAACCATCGAGATTGTGGTTCTAGATCAGAATGACAACAAGCCCGCTTTTACTCTGAAAGAGTTCTTTGGATCAGTCCCAGAGTTCTCTCTCCCAGGTAGACTAATAAATAGAATCAAGTACAAAAATGTGATGGTGTTTGTATTTTTGAGTTGTAATTATATTTTTCATAAGCAATCTTTAGTTGTTGTGTTCTTTGAATACATATTTAGTATGTTATAATATATATATTTTTAAAATGAAATATATCCAAAAAGCAATGATGTCCTAAAAAGTGTCCCATTAGATGTTTGGTTCCATCAATAGTTTTATTTTTATTCTTCTTTTTACCAATGCAATAACTAACATATACAGTTATGTTTAATAAAATAAAGAATAGAATATTTAGATAACTTTAGCTTTCAGTTAAAAACTGTTATTTCTTTTTATTTTATGTTCCCTATTAACTAGCTACTTCTGGAGAAGCATGAAAATCTACAGAGGTCCACTTTTACCTTAACACTGCATAGGAGCATTGATGGATTAATATAATCAATAAACTGCTGAACCTCCTGTGGACACAACAATCAGATGTGTTAAACCTCCAGTTAACTAAACAAGTATTAATTCATCAATTGTATAGTCTAATTCAACAGAGATTCCAAAGAGTTGGTGTTATTTCTGCCGAGCTAAATTGAATCACATTTTAAATGTTGATTTTAAAATCCATAGCAAGCAGAGTTTCTCCCAGAATCTTTCTATCTTTGACACCTGAAGTGTTGAAGGTGTTCAGACGGCCTGGTAGAGCCTGCTAACGGCAGCCTTTCTTATGGCAGCTGTGTCTATAATTTAGGCAGCATGGTATAATATCACCATTATGCTGATGATACTCAGCTATATTTGTCCTAAAAAGTTTTAAGACCAATGTGTGCTGTTGACTTTTGACACTATACACTAGATCAATTCATCTTAATAATGGTTGAATTTAACTATTAAGGCTATTGTTTACAACTCTCTTAAAGTGCTAACTTTCTAAGTGTTGTTTTAACTCAATCTACGGTGGACCCAAAAATATATTCATATTTAATCTGTCAAATATTCACTTGGAAGGATAAATTCATCAGTTTGTTGAAGAGTCGTTGAAGAATATATAAAAATACTAATAAATCTTATATCACCAATATATAATGTTTCCAATGCAAGAAATTTGCCTTTTTTTAATCTTGAATTCATATAAATGACCTCACTCTCTGACTGAAAACTTTCATTTCTACTCTGCAGGCACATCAGTGATGTCAGTTACAGCCACAGATGCAGATGACCCAATGACAGAAAACGCAGCTCTAAGTTTCTCCATCGTTGGTCAGGAGAGCATCCCCCCCAATGCTGTGAACAAGACTATGTTTGGTATTAACTACCAGACAGGAACCATCTACACCAAGGATGTGGGCCTGGACCGGGAGGTAAATTGTATTCAGAGACACAGATGGATAGAGAAGAGCTCGGTAACCCTAAATTTGTAAATTATACGGTGAGGGTTTATGGGGAATGAGCACAACCATGTCTGTCATTAATGTGCTATTTTAAAGAAGTTCAACAAAGATGTAGCTAATTACTCGGATATTATCAGTCTATTAAAGACCAATTTCTTTAGATCATTTTGATTGTTTTGTTCTTGTTTTTTACATTAGCTTTTATATATTCTCTGTTATTGGAAAAAGAAATAAAAATTATTTTTAAGATCTTTCACACCTGGGGAAAACCATCAATATGTTCGGATTCTCTTTTTAGAAAAGAGCCTGGTGTTATTTAAGATTTTATAAAAATAGAAATAATAAGCACTACTCATTAGGACAACTTTGTTTAATTTAAAACCATTTTGGGATTGTTCTTGGTAGCTACTAGTCAAACATCTTCATGGGAGTACAACAGGGTCTTGTGCTGAGCCCCTTCCTCCACAGACTTTTCATTCTATACCCAGACTGGAATCAAAGAGAACTGATTTATCAGCCATTTCACTTATTCCATACTGCAAGCACTAAGTGGATCTGGCAGCATGGTGGGACACCACACTTAAAACCCCAACCTGACCCAGACAAGGCTTAACTGTAACAAAAAATAATAACTGCTTAATGTTTCTCAGTACTGACTCTTTATCCTTTTAGACAGCCAAAAACTGTTAAAAATGAAATATTTCTTGGGTGAAATAGAATTTTTTGTCATGACTTCATGTCCAATACCCTTTGCAACACTACATAAATAAGATTACCAGAGGTGGGTAGTAACATATATTCAGTTACACTTACTATAGTAACTTTTACAAACACATGTACCAATAGAAGTATTTTTACATTACTGCACATTTTTATTTTGCTAAGTTATATTCTTGTGAAAGTATTGTTACTCTTACTTGGGTACATTTTCTTTTAGTGCTCTGCTTGGTTTATGCATATAAATTGCTTTATTATAATTTTGCAGAGTTTTAGAGATTATATGGACACTACAATGTAAGTAGAACAGGAAAGGAAAACAGGAAAAAAAAGGAGAAGAGATTAAAGAAAGAGGACTTGGCCATATTTTCTGATTACTCTGTCCAATATGAGTAACATGAGCTATCTAACAAATATTAATTTCTTATGGTAAGGATTGGTTGTTAATGTAAAAAAAAATGATTGTGAATTCATTCATCTTTATTTATTTACATTTATTTATTTTTATACTTTAATGCCATAATTCTCTGTCTGTTTACATAATTTTAAACATTAAATCAGATGCAAGGAGCCATCAATTACTCACTACTCGAGTTGCCCAGTTTACCCAATACTTTTTTACACTTATTTGCGTAATTTCATGGATAATTATGTTAATTTGATAATTAAGTAGTGCTGCTCTTACTCGAGTAATGTTTTTAGGTACTCTACCCAACTCTGGGGATCAGTGCTTGAATATTTCTTCTAAAAAGAAGTATAATTTCTTCCAGGTGGTGAAGAAGTTCAAGTTAAAGCTAGAGGTTGCTGATATGGGGGGTGAAGGATTAAGAGGTGAGGCTGTGGCCATCATCACCATATCTGATATCAACAACCACGCACCACAGTTTCACCAGGCCTTGGTGAGCTTTGATTTAATGGGTTATAGTACAATTTTCTATCAGCTTATCACTATAAAGGCAATGACATCAGCTAAATCCTTCTTTTTTTTTTTTTTTCATTTGTGCTTTTAGTACAGCATTAGAGCCCAGGAGAATGTTTTCAACGTTGAGATTGGACGCGTTAGTGTGACAGACAGAGACGAGCCAGGAACAGGGAACTGGGAAGCCAAATACAGCATCTTATCAGACCCAAACAAAAACTTTGCCATCCAGACGGATCCAGTCAGCAACGAGGGAATCCTGACAGTGATGAAGGTACAGAGAAAGGTTGAACCACCAGGCAGGGGCCACGGTTTGTAGCCTCATCAGTGGCTGAAAAACCAAACATTGCTTTTTCAATCGTACTGAGTGTTTTTATAAAATAAATGATCTGTTTTAGTAATTTGTGTTTGAGTTGTAAAATACATTAAAACTTTAATTAGAACAACCCTAAAATGTTTGAGCAGAGTTGTGATTATCTTGGAATTGCTGAAAAAAAGTAAAAAATTCTTTATAACTTGCTCTATTTTCATTATATTTTATGCCTTTTTCCAAAGAATTTCTTAGTTTTAATTCCAGGTCTGGTCTTTTTAATATACATCCAAAATTTGTCAAAACAAAACTTTACATTAACTGACAGCACTGTCAGGAAGTATTGAAATAAAAAGACATGGAAACTTGCTGGTAACTTTACAGACCAAGGACAGTTCCTACATGGCAAGAGATCATTATTATTAGAATTTTTACATAGCACTGTTAATTTAATCAAATTTAACAACCTATGTGCGGTCCTTTAAATTCAAAACACAAAAAATATCTATTTTTGTTAATGGGGCAGACAATTTGTGGAGCACATGAGATATTTCTCCTGAATGGAGATCTCTGTAAAAAAAAAAAAAATCTTCTTAAATATATTTCCCTAATTTAATAAAAAATATCTGATTATGCTTAATACATGCCATGTCAGCACCATCTAAGCAAATAAATAAAGCAACTCATTTTAAGACAATACACATATAAAATCTTGATGAGTGAAATAGTTTTTAAATGATCTTGTTTTGAGTTATTATTTTATTACAGCATTTCACATTGGTTTGCATTTTCTGTGAGGGTTCCAAAAATGAAAAAATCTTGTTACACTTGAATCAAGACAAAGTTGCTTTGTTTTTAACTGTATTAAAACAAAATCTTTAATTTCACAGCTCATTATGAAACAAGTCATGAGGGTTACTATTTTGCATTTCTTTTAAACCAAACCTTAAAGTAATTTATAAAAAGAAAACATTAACAAAATCTAAAATAGCTTAAACTTTGTTCTGTTTTGTGTCAAAGATAATTAGTATAAAAACGGTCCAAAAATAATTTGCAAAGCATGAAACATTGTTTAATAAAGTTACCTAACTGATTCAATGATGATATTTAATAATATTTGTGAGGTCGTACTTCACTTAAATGTTCTTACTATCATTAAAATGTTCATATAAGTATGCTGAATAATCAATAAGCTTGTCAGTATCTATAAAAATATTGGCTTTAGTTCACATTATGACTTATAGGCTAAATATTGATTATACCAACCAACTGTAGAAAGAGGCTGATATTTAAAACTATACACTAATACATTTGCAACATATATACTTCTGTTGATTTTGATGATTGTATTGCTGCAATATGTTCAATAGCGGTCTTTTTTTATATATATATTTTAAAATAAGATTGATATTGATCTCATTTAATGACAAATTATCTTACTAACCTGTTGAAATTAAGGGCAAATATACTCACTTTAAGAAAATACTACATATAGTTATATTACTTTTTCAGTGCCCCAGACAGGGAAGCTTGCTTTAAAATAATTTGCCTCAAAATGTAAATTTTGTAATTTTGTTTAAAGTAGGTTATACACTTGAATCTAGGACACTTTCAAAACTATTCTAAAAAGACCGAGTAATATACACCTTAAAACAAGATGATGACATATGAGGTTAATAAAAATAAGCTACATTTGAGGAGGATACTACTTTTAACCATCTTAAGCTTATTATTTTAGTAATTTTTAATAAAAATTATTTTTTTTTGTAGCTAGATGTCCTTATGAAATATCTTAATGTCTCTTCTTCTTTTCAAATTGTTCCATTGGCTGATTTTTTTCATTAAATTTTTTTTATGTATTTATATATCTGTGTCTGTTTTTTGCCTGTTTCTGGTGTGCCCACTTTTCCATTGAGCAGACATAACTATATACTACCATCTACTGGTTCACATATAAATTGAACGTTGCTTGGGCAACTGCTGCTTGATGAGGTTTTTATGTTTGTTTTATGCTTTTAATTTCTGTTGTTCTTTACATCACTGTCTACGGTCCAGCAGTGGACAGTAGGAATCTATAATTGTCTTTCCTGTGCTGTATTGCAGCCTCTGGATTTTGAAGTCAAAAGGGAGCACAAGTTGATTCTGACAGTGGAAAACATCAATCCTCTGAGCAGCAAGACTCGAAACCAACCCCTAAGTTCTGCCACAGTGATGGTGACTGTGGAGAACCAGAATGAGGCTCCGTATTTTAAGGAGAACCCCATACGGATCGAGGTCCCCGAGAATGAAAAACCTGGAAAGCTGCTGAAAAGCAACATCGCCTCAGACCCCGATCATTCTGAACTCAGGTTTGGCCCAAAAGATTCTTGAGAGGAAAATTTTCTACACATATTGACATAGAAAGGAAGTTGATGGTTCCCTTTTCTGTTGTTGGTATAGATTTGAAATCAGCAAAGACCCTGAAGGCTGGCTGGAAATCAAAAGAGAAACAGGAGACATTTTCCTGAGAGGACCCTTCAACATGAAATCTCCACATGTCAAAAACAACATCTACAGCGCTGTCATTAAGGTTACAGGTCTGTTTATTTCTCATTCTGATCACTTACATCTTTAAAGCGTTTTTTTAATGGAAGAATATCTGAAGATTTAAATAGAGACTGACTTTAAGTTGTTCTTCATAAATATCTACTTATAGATTATAAAGCAACACAAATACCCCTCTGCCTATTCTGCTGGCATATTTAGCCACAGTAGTTCACACCTGCTATGAACACCTCTAAAATATCACATCAGCAGCATCAGAGAAAAGACAATGATTCAAACTTAAGCTGAAAATTTAAGTTTTTTTTGCTTGTTTGTCTTATGTCCGTAAGGTGCAAAAGTATGCAAACCCTTCTGTTCAAGGTCTGATGCTTTTAACAAAAACTATCATGACATTTTCTTTCAGGTTTATATAGTTTATAACAGTTTGGTGCATTTCTCTGTAAAAAAAAATAATAAAAAATTTAACCAATTTCACATCTTTTTAAAGTATTTCTAAAGCCAGAACTACACTTAAGATCAGCACATGAAAATCTTCCATTATGAAATCTTTTTAGAACAACATGGCTCAGAGTGTTTGTCTTTGTGCTTGACCAAAATCACACATGCCCCCATGTTTGCCTCATAAGTCATTAGTTTCATCCCTTTTTTTGAAGCATTTTTCATGAATCATTACAATTAATCTTCACCAAAAGCAGACCCAAACCATATGATTTACTTGCTTAATTTCCTATATTTTATATACTTAAGATGGCTCTTAGTTTCCTTTCTGCAAACTCGTATTGTTATAATTCATTTTAGAGAGCTCTTATTTATTGCTTTTCCACACAAGACAGATATCCTGCCCTACTCTGACTGATGTTATGAAGTGTGCTGACATTAAAGATAAGGAATTTGTTGGGATGTTTTCTACAGATGCTGGTGGGGTTTCAGCCTCTGCAACAGTGAATATCATCCTGGAAGAAACCAACGACTTCCCTCCTCAGCTCGTCCCTTTGAGCAGCTCCTTGTGCTCAGGCGATAACAAAGCATCTCCTGGTGTCTTACTGACTGCTGTGGATGAAGACCATCATCCACATGCAGCTCCCTTCATCTTTTACATCGCTGACCCGCTGTCATTAAACTGGACTGTCTTTGATTTCAACGGTAGGTGTGGGAGGTGAAGCAGTGCATGATGTGTCATTCTCAGGATAAAACTCTGTCCTCACCTCCTTTCTTTCTGTGTTTCCTTCCTTAGATACTCATGCAGTTCTGAGACCCACTGTGGAGCTGGAAGCTGGAGAGTATCAAGTACCAATGTTGGTCAAAGACTCTGGCAGCCCGTCTCAACGCACTTTAACTCAAGTCAATGTCACCGTATGTCTCTGTGACTCCTATGGTGACTGTAGATCTGAGTCGGGCGCTTTCTTAGGCTCCAGAGTGGGAGTCAGCTTCATTGCTCTCATCATTATCATCGCATGTAGTTCACTTCTACTGGGTGAGTGTCATGATTAACGAAAATGCTTATTTGACTAAGATAAAAAGCATTTTATGCAATATTTTTAGATGGTTTAGTGAAGAAAATGACAACGAAAACTATTCTAACCCTGCCGCACATAGGATTTACAGTCCAGCAAAACAAACTCATATTCTAGAGCACCGGATCTTTTATTTGAGAAGCTTTTATTAGTTAGAGTGAAAATGTTCTGTGTTTTTTTTTTAAATGTTCACTTTCACTAACTTTATCTGAATATTAACTATCTTTTAATAATAAATCCACGATTTCCGGATTTCATTGGGAAAAATGACTTAATAGCAGATTCTGACATATTTCCACTTTTATAAACACATAATATCCAGCAATTGTAATTATTTACCTGCAGTGATTAAAAAAAAAAATTAGGGATAAATTTATAACTGAAGTCAAAATCCTCTTCAGACTTTTTTGTTAGTTAGATAATATGATCAGAAGTAAACTGAAGGATGCTTGTTTGCAGTGCTGCTGCTCTTGGCTGTGGCCTTAAACGCTTGTGGAAGACGTCACCACATAAAGAAAGGATCAGGTCTGCTTGTCGCTGAATCTGAGGACGATGTACGAGATAACATCCTCAACTACGACGAGCAGGGAGGGGGTGAGGAAGATGAGGTAGGCTCACACACTGCGGTTAATCTAATGGTGACCTCCAGTGGTTGAGGGTGCAGATCTGTATATTTGCCTGTATATTGTTTGACCAAAGTATCCGCCTCATTTTCTCCCAGAACGCCTTCAATATTGACCTGCTGTGGAACCCCCATGATGCACCTCACAACCCGTGGTCCTTCTACCCAGGCTCTGGCATTCCCCGAGGCAAAGAGCCCCTCAGGAAGGATGCCCCACATAACCTGCCCTCCCCCACCTACCCAAGGCGGCCTCCTGCAGATCCCACTGACATCGAGGACTACATCAATGAAGTGAGCAGCTTCAGCTTTTGCTTGGCTTTCTAAGGGAAAAAATAATCTATAGTTCAAAGACGCCATTTACAAATGAGAGAGCTCTAACTGGGACAAAGTCTGGTCCATAGAAAGGAAATAAGTTATCAAAACATCTGCAGTATTTGTTTAACACTACACATCCCCACTGAAACCCATTTAATGAGTTTAAAGTCTCTTTAAAGTAAAAAAAATGGCACATGGACAGTTGGAAGTGGCTTAAGTCGGGTCACCTTCCAGTTTTTCATGCTGCTCCTGATCCCAGTTAACACCTAGAATTCCTACTTTGTTCCCTAAATAACTGTTTTAATTCAGATGCCTCTGGGATATTTTGGAAACCGTTTTAAGGTTTGATTTTGTTTTTGTGACAGCCAGCTCCGTTCCACTATGCATGCTGCAATTTATTAGCAAGGTTATCAGAACCTACTTTATTGGCATTTTAAAGGGCAATAGAAAAAAAACTTTCAATGTTAAAAATTTATCTTGTTTAGTGACACAGAAAAATCAAAGTACAGTTTAATCTTAAAATAAATAATAAATAATGTACCGTTGAAAACAAGGAACTATGTTTGCAAATGGAAAGATTATTATATTTTTATTTCAAAAGATAATATCTCAGATAGTTTCTCCCATAGGTTAGACTACTACATATTGACTTCTTTCAACAGGCTGTTCAAAATTTGAACCTGCAGGTAAGGAAGTTTCCTTACAGCTTAAAAGCAAACTTCTTTTCTCTTCTCAGGGCTTGGAGGCTGCTGACAACGATCCCAACGTGCCTCCATACGACACAGCCCTGATCTATGACTACGAGGGAGAGGGCTCAGTGGCCGGCAGCCTCAGCTCCATTGTTTCAGGAAGCTCAGACGGAGATCAGGACTATGATTACCTCAACGACTGGGGACCACGCTTTCAGAAACTAGCAAATATGTTTGACCCACGTTAAAGCCAACAGAACAAGAGCTGCAGCGTTAAGGGCACACAACATGCCTGATGTGATTTTTCTTTATCATAAGACGAGATTGTTCTAATGAAGAAAATTATTTTTGCCTTATTAGAGCTTGTTTGGACACAAACAGCAAGGGGACTTGATGCTGCCTTCAGCGTTTTTAGGAAACAGGATGTGCATGTGGGAATCTTCAATCTCCTGCAGATCACTTATGATGCACACAAAAGACAGAAAAATAATTTGTTTTGATGTTTTTTTTTTTTTTTACATTTTATAAGATGAATTTTCAGTATTTTGTGTTCAACATTTCCTGCATTTGTTCATCTACTATCTCTAAAAACAGCAACACACAACATTCAGCAATACCTTACCTGAAGGTTAAACAGTCAAATGGTCTTTTTTTTATGTATGTTCCCTGAATTCATGTTTTACTGGTGTCTTTATAATAAAAGGGTGTTTATTTCTTATCAAACTGCCATTATTTACTAACCTGTATATTCATGCGTTGCCTCGTCAGTTTAGACCGAGAATAAATACTGCCTGGAAAGTGATGCAGCTTTTAAATATTTATTTAAATATTTCTGCAAGTGAAATTTACAATCCCTCACATGGAGATCATCGTAAAAAGTTCCAGTTACTCTGACTGGATAAAAGTCTGAGGGAACCCAATAAAGTTGGTTTGCCTTAAAACGGTGGATTGATGAGCTCAATAAGTTTGACAGAACCAAAAAAACAAGATTTCATATCTTGTTTTGATGGCTGAGAGCAAAGCTTCCTCACATCAGCATTTACATTTGAATCCCTTTGACAACCCTGTAGAGATTAAATAATCTTGTCTTTTTGCACGACGACTGCTTAAAAACAAAAACAAAAATGCACACAACAGTTTAATTACATGACTCTACGCAGTAGCTGGAGTCATTTCCTGCCTGCTAAACATGAAGAACACATTTTATCTTCAGAGGGATATGTCACAGACATGGATTTCCTTTCAGCTGTTGCTTAAGCCTCATGTCTGTTTTACTGCAGAGTGATCCATTAATATGGTTGACATTAATGTTAATAGGAAATGAAACTTACAAGTAGGATATGTTTTTGAAATGGCACTATAAGATCTTTATTGCCTCTTGCAGATGTGAAGTCATATAATTTCCCTAAAGAAATGCAAGAAATTCAAACCTGAATCAGCTACAGTACATCTGCATGAACAAGCAAAGAAACTGTACACCATAAACAATTTTTACACATCTGCATCATGAATGATAAGCTGGGACGCATAGGGAGAACAATTGCAGTTTTCCTGCACAATTCTTAAAGTTGCACAGAAATCTTTCGGATCTGGAAGTGGATTCAGCTAAATTGAAGGGTTATGGATACAAACATTCATTTAGGTCTATAAGAAGTTTTTCAAACTTCACTTTTACTGCCATAAGCCTTAATGTGAGGATGCTCTGCTTTTGCTAACTTCCCACCAGCTACTGAAAAACTCTTTCAGATGCGGGACAAATAAAGAAAATCAGACTAATTGTGGATCAACGTCCTCCTCTCTGCGTTTCCTGGGAGGTGGTTGAGGTTCATCCTCTCCTGTGTCCTGCTTGTCCCTCTCTGCCTCCACCCAGCTCTGTGGGAGGATGATCTTCTTTGGCCCAAACGGCGGCGGGCCCAGCAAGGCTTCAATGTCGTCATAGTTCACCACTTCACGGTCTAACAGAGCGTTTGCCAGCTGTAAGTACAGACCCAGAGGATTACACAATGGGGCAATTTTTAAAATTAAACAGCAAGCAGAAAAATGAAAAAAGAAAGAACAAACCAGGATGAGCTTGTCCCTGTTGTCCAGCAGCAGTTTCTCTGTGTGTCTGTATGCACGAGCTATCAACATCTTTGCCTCCTGTCAGAGCAGACGCACATGATCAATAACGGCAGGAACTTTATAGACAGTGCTGACTAACAGCTGAACCCACATGATCCATCTGTTGCTGCAGGCCTTGGCTGAAAGGACGCCGGCCAACGGCGCCTTGCTCCTCCGTCTCAGGAAACGACACCTGTCCCACGCTGTCGCACATACCGTACTGCTTCACCATAGAGTAAGCCACCCGCGTCACCTTCCGCAAGTCGTCCTGAGCCCCTGCAGAGACAAAAGAGTCCTTTAGCCCTGCAGGAAGATTCCAGCAAATCATCTGGTGTGTAGGAGGTTCCACCTGTGGTGACTTTGTTAAAGGTGATGGCCTCTGCCGCTCTGCCCCCCAGCGCCATGCACATGCGCTGAAACAGCTGCTCCTTAGTGAACAGGTACTGGTCACGGGGTAAGATCTGAGCAAAACCCAGGGCAGCATTGGTTCGGGGCGCAATGGAGACCTGAGTGAGACATCAGAGAAATACTGTCAAATTTGGAAATATTTCTTTGACAATCAGGGTAGAAAGCTACATAGAGGAGCGTACTACCTTCATCACTGCCTCTGTGTGCTCCAGCAGCCATCCTACCAAGGCGTGTCCCGACTCGTGGAAGGCAACCACCCTCTGCTCCTCCTTAGACAGGATCTTGCTTTTCTTCACACTCCCTGAACAAACACAGCCACACCAGTCCCAATCCGAGCAGCGCATCATGATGGGTTTGCCTCAAAGTGTCTGCCTTACTCTACCTGCTATCACTCTTTCCACAGCATACTCAAAGTTAAATGTGTCGATGGACTTGAAGCCCTCTCTGGCGGCGTGCAGCGCAGCTTCGTTACAAATGTTTGCAATGTCTGCACCTGCAGGAAAAGAGAAGCGCCTTGTGCTCCTAAAATGTTTCCTGACTGTTTCAAGGACAGAATATCATATCTATGCCTGACCTAAAACATAAACAACAAATGGTGATGTGCAGTAATAGCAGACACTCTTCGCGTTGTCATGAATGAGTTAGAAAACAACAATTATTACATATGAATGAAAAATCCAAATACTAAACTAATCTAAAAATGTCCCTCTTTGTACCAGCAAGGAAAAAGGACAAAAAGGGTAGAACATGCATGTACCACTGAAGCCTGGGGTGAGCTCAGCCAGCCGCAGAGAATAAAAATTAGCTGGCTGCGTCAGCTTCAAGATCTTCAGATGTTGCTCAAAGATCTCCTTTCTCTCCTGAAAGGGAAAATAAAATTAAGACCAACCAGATCCAAGTCGCTAAACCATAACATTCAGACTATTAGACACAATAAGCTAAAAAACTGAGTGAATCAATGAGCGCTATGGATTGCTGCAAACTACCTGCAGTGTGGGAAGATCTATGAAGATGTGTCTGTCGAGCCTTCCAGGCCTCATGAGAGCGTTATCCAAAATGTCTGCTCTGTTGGTGGAGGCCAGAACAATGACGTGGTCTGTTGTTCCCATCCCTACCAAAAAAAAAAATGCTTCAAAAAGTCACTGACAATTCTGAAAACCAACAGGCTGATGTGTATCACTGCGTTTCACCCACCGTCCATCTCCACCAGGAGCTGGTTGAGGGTCTGCTCCTCCTCTGTGTTGGAGAAACCGGACATGTTGTTGGAGCGCTTCTTCCCCACAGCGTCGATCTCGTCAATGTAGACGATGCAAGGCGCTCTAGCACGCGCCTCTTTAAACAAACTCCTGACCCTGGCAGCACCAAGACCTGCACATGGACACAGTGGACGTCAAACCCTGGCCTTCATTGATTATCCAGCTATGGTAATATTTCGAATGTTAGGGGAATTCTTCTGAAAAGCAGTTTAAAACCAGAGTTTTGGGGGGGGGGTTATTAAAAGAAAGTTATGAATGCGTTAAATAATTTTGTGAACCTTTAGAAAAAACAGATAATTTTGAATGATACTAACCTCCAATGACCTCCACAAACTCAGAGCCAGCCATAGCCAGAAAGGGAACCTGAGCCTCTGTGGCTACAGCCTTGGCCAGCAGGGTTTTGCCACATCCTGGGGGCCCAAGCAGCAAGGCTCCCTTAGGAACCTTGGCTCCCAGATGCAGGTAGCGTTCTGGACTCTTAACAGTGAAAAACAACACAGAAAAAGTTAAATCACATCTTTATCAGGACTATTTAGAAGTCCTGTAAAAAAAAGAAAAATGACTAAGGTTAAAATAATCTATTTCTGATCCTAAAAATTTTTTTTTTGTGTTAAAATCAATGGAAGAGATTGAATGATGCGTTAAGTGCGTTTTCTTACCTTGAGGTAGTCGACAAATTCCTTTACCTCCATCTTAGCCTCATGCATACCAGCTACATCTTTGAAACTCACGCCTTTACCAGATTTGCCATCAACGATGGTGAACTTGGCCATCTTCAGCTGATTCTGTCCAATTGTTTATGTAAAACACAGTTAGCTTATTAGGCTAAAAGTAACAGAGCAGCATTTTCTTTCCATTCAACTCACAAAAGCACTGAAACCTCCTTCTCTGCCGCCCATCCCTGCGAGTCGGAAGATATACCAAAGAATAGCCACACCGATAGCAGCCATTCCCAGAGCATAGACTGCACTGCAAAAACAAGAAATATATATATATATATATTTTAAATACATCAAAGTGTAAAACCTGACTCAAACAAACTAATGTTTCTTTAAAAAAAAAAACTATAACTGCACTGGGATTTCATGCATGACCTTGTAGCAGCATAAACTCTTACTTTCCAAAGAATCCTGTGCGTTTGTACGTCACCGGTATCCTGTCCTTGGTGTCGATGTTTAGTTCCTCCTCTGCTGCTCGAAGCTTCTCTTCAAATTTGTCAATGTTTGCAACCTGCATTCTGTACATGAGTGCCAGCCTCTGCAAAAAAACAATAGAAAAATGATATGAGAAGAAATTGACGAAATGAGACAATTCTCCCTTCTAATTAGTATTAGATACTGAGAATGTGTTTACAGGAATTCCCAAAACAACATACAGGCCTTCCAAAGATGACAGCCCCGGGATGAAGGTAGATTTCTACAATGTCACTCTCAGGAACAACCTGCACGCGGGACACCTCCCCCTTCGCCAACATCTCATTGACAAAGTCATTCCAGGAGATGTTGCCACCGCTGGTGTTGATGGAGTTAAGCAGGCTCATGATAAGTGCTATGATGAACAGCGTCCGCAGGCGCTCGCGGTACATCTGATCCTCCTGCTCACGCCGTTTCTTCTCCTCTGAAATGTAAAGATTAAATACGATATGAAGAAGATCTCATGATTACAGTAAAATATGTTTTTTGTTTTTTTTTACTCCTCAGAGGTTTGCCAGCTAAAGCAGTTTACCACATACCTTCATCTTCCTGAGGAGTTTTCCCCTTTGGTCCAGAACCTTTATTTTTCTGGTTTTTAGCTTGAGATGTACTGAAAAAGTAAGTTGTCCCTGGAAGTAAATATATGTAATATATTTTACAGTAAGTGTTAGTATTTAACAACAGGTACAATATAAAGAGATGTTTTTAAAAAAAGAAAGTAAATCCATTATGTACCTAATAAATTTACTAAACCCACGGGGTTTCTCAGCAGGTTACTTCTGATTAACTCTTTGCCAAGTCCAACCATGCCAGGACCCAAGGGCTTGTGGAGAAGACTCTGAAATAAATAAAATAAACCAGAGAAAATAGGCTGGTGATCTATAAGTTAAATCTGAACAGGAAATCTTTTTTTTCTTTCCCAATACTGGTTGTTTCATCTGAGGCAGAACTCTGCAGCCTAAACACTTTAAACACTTTGTCTTTTCCTGCTACAAAAAAGTTGATTAAATAAAATCAAAACTTTATCAAGTAAGCTGTAACAAGACTAAGTTCTCAGGTGGCATACAAAGTAGTGCACTTTGATTGTTCCTACAAGACAGGAAGCTGCAGAAGCATAGCTTTACCTTTTACAAAGTGTTTCTGTTTTCATAAAACAGTGGATCCTAACAACATTGTATGGCTAAATAATGCACATTAACATAAAAGAATAGTAACCGGGAGAAAAGTTCAATATATTAAGTGGAATACACAGTTTATTGGATCTCTTCTTGGTGTTCTCCTTTTGTAAATACTTAACCAACCGGCCCAGAACCAGAACAATAATAATAGCAGTTATTTGTTTCAGACTTATATAAAAGTTAAGTTGTTCAGCAAATGTACTCTAATTGAAAATATAGAAGGCTCATTGAAATCCTTTCCATAAAAAAAAAAAAATGAACAGCCCAATATTAAAATGGATATACCATATAGTGGAAATACTTAGATATTACCACTTAACAATTCAGTAATAGTAATGCTTCATTATTCTAATTCTTTTTACAGTAATTATAAGTTATGTTGATGTGTGTATTTATGCATGTGTACAGAAATAAGAGCTATATATTTGCAGATAAAAGTCACTGAGACAAGGTAACTTTGTAAAACATTACAGAGTTAAAAACTTCCAAAATACAAACAGAAGCTAAATTGTTGAGTTTTATTTTGAAAAGTTCTTCTGACATTTAGCTCAGAAAGCTCCTTGTTTACCTGAATGAGTTTCTCCTGTGGCTGACCTGATAGACTCCGCTGTGATCTTGATAGATGAGGTGTTTTCAACACATTAGCAAACCTGAACAGCGCATTCCTAGCACCTTCACTTGATGTCGCTCTGTTTGTTAAAACATGACAGTTTCGCCTAGGTAGCATCCAAAACATACTTCTGCTGTACTTTCTACAAATCCCAGCACTTTTCGGGAAGAGAAATGCTGACATGGTGACTGTTATCGGTGAAAATTGATATCAGCTTCGCAGAAACAATATCATGTCGTAATTCTTCCACGGACGTCCGTATTTAGAGACATTTGTTTTTAACCTAAACCTCTGTCTGGAGCTAACATGATGCTAGGTTATCCAACGGTTACATATCATTTTCTTCTTTACAGCAAGTGAAGAGCACCAAGGAGCTCCCCAGGCAACACTGCCACCTACAGGCCTTTGATAGTTACTACAGCTATTCCACCAGACGAGCTACAATAAGTTAAAATGTACTGATTTTTTGTTATTTCAAACCTAAATATGTAATTAAATGTCTTCAGGCAGTCATTCTAATGACCAGTGGAGATATTTGATCTGTATTAAAGTACTTGAATTATATAGACGACAAACGAATATATAGCAAAACCACTTAGTATGTAAAATGCAATGACTCGACGCAATCAACTGGTTTTCTTTGTCCGAAACTTTTATCCAATCTGACTTTTTATCCCTGAAAAGTGCCTTGAGATGACATGTGTTGTGGCGCTATATAAATAATTGAAATTAAATTGAATTTAATTGTATAATTAGCTGATAAACACCTTTTATAATCCGTATACCTTTTGTAACTATTATTATAAAATCCTGACCACCTAAAACTTTGCTATGAGTAATTAAGGTTACTCTTTAGCAGAAAATCTTACATTTAAAACAAACAAACAAAAAAACATTTGGTGTCTAAAGAAAGTTTAGAATGTTTAAAAACTATACTGACAAGAATATAGTTTATAATAATAAGTTCGTTTGAATAACAATCTCTTGTTAAAGAAGCAATTCACTTAAATTTCAGTGTTATAATAAGATATTAGACAGCACGATAAATTCTCAACAAGTTGACTTTACTTTTTCATCTTAAGGTTACAGTGTGCCCGTCTTCCAGCAGAGGGCACCATTGTTTAAAGCTGACATGATGACGATTAGAAGTTTAACTGAAATATATATCTGTGAACTTTTTGTAAAAAAAAAAAAATCAAAAATTAATATATATATATTACTATCAGTGCTTTGACTAGACGTATAATATAAATAATTATTTACAAATAATATTTAATATATATATATATATATATATATGTCCAAGTACTACGTTGAGATTTATTCTGGAAGAGAAATAAATTTCATATAAGTTTGTGTGCTATCTGTCAGTAAATAAATAACGCATTGCTTTCAGTATGTGTACAGGTCAGTTTGAGCGGTTTGAGGGATTTTTTTTCTTTCGACCAATGAGAACGCTCGTTTCATAACTTTGCAGTTTATTTTGACCAGGGGTATATCTGATTTAAACACCTTGATGTCCCGCCTTAAGCTCAACGACACAAGCATTTATAGCTTAAATTTTAGATTCACCGTAAGAGCTTATTTCCGACTATCATTTTGAACATTAATCCCATACCTAGTCATCGTAAAACAAATTTTATTACAAAAAAATTGTATTTACAACAATTCTTCGTTGTTGCGTTTTAGACACGTTTATTGTGTAACTATCCGAGATAGCCTTCATGTAACTATTCACAGACGTTGCTGTTTTTTATTATTGACACGATGTATTGAAATACATTTAGTGTTTGGCAATATTTAAAACGCCTTTCTGTGTGCAGTGCAAAGTTCATAATAGGTTTTGGGAAATGAGATATAACTATTGCAGTTTTTACTAAGTTATAAACCAAGCCTACCCAGTGCCTGAACTCCATTTCCTTTTCTCAGGCCTCCAACTACATAATGGAGTGTGGTGTTTTGCGTTTGAAACTGTGAGCTGAGTTCAGCCACGTTGGAACCCCGTTCTTCTGTAGTTTTAACTCGGCTCCGCTTCCTTTACGGATCCAAAATGGCGTCAGTTTCCCATTGCAGTAGGAGTATCCGCCTACAGCGTGAGAGCCAATCAGAACGCTCCTTTCATCCCGGATGCATTTCCGTCTGGAGCGTCTACACACTGAAGTCAAAGGTAGCTTGAAAACCGCTCGAATGGGTTGGCGGAGAGGATTAAAGCGAATAAGAAATATACTATTTTGAGGCTTTACGTTTACCCGAGCAAGCCTTCAGTTCTACAAATGGACCCCTAAAGGTCCCTAGCTTGTGGTGAAGATGAAATAGATGCGCCGAACTCAAGTTTTTCTTGGATATTTTAGTCTTCGTTTCTCTGGACGTCTGTTTGTTGGTCTACAGGCTAGCGCTAGCAGCAAGCGACTCTGGTGAGCTGGGTTTAGCTGCAACGGTCCATACCAGCTTATTTATGCGGATGTCTCCGGAATTTATGTTGAACCGACGGCGACAAATGGGAGCATCCAGCAACAATCGAAAACGTTGCGGCATAGACTAAACGTTTAATGTCCTGAGGACTGTTTAAATTCGAGTTCAGACGGAGGTAAGTCTCAGGTTACCAACCCTGCAATGCTAACATGTTAACAACAACAAACTGACTCCATTGGCTCCCATGGTTTCATCCAGTATGTTACGAAAAAAGGTCAATTTGCAGGATATTTATTTACTCATAGTGTCAAATACTTTAAAATGTGAATATGCTGTTTCATTGTTATGTAATAATGGAGTGTTTTTTTTTTTTTGTAGATTTTATGTTTTTCTTTTTTTGCTGGGTATGTTGTGGAAGTTCTGAAGGAGGCAGTGATTCATTGGGGATAAACCTAAACCATTATATTCCTCTGATTGTTTGTGATGAGAGTAATATTGATATTACGTTGATTTTTTTTAAAATATATTATATTTAGCATGGCATGTCCTGATTACATATTGTTTACCCGTATTAAGTAGTGGGGTTGTTATTTGCTTACATTACAGGGATACTTCCCCTTTTCCCAGACAGTAATTAAGATTACAGATCTCCAGGGAATGCACCTAATAACATCCAAATGTGGACCCATTTTAAACGGCTCACTGGTGCTCATTTGGCAGCTGATCTAACACACCACCAGTCGGTCTGCTTTTCCATTAGCTCTGCACAGAGGCATGGATTTGAAGCATAAAGTGTTGGCCATTTGCTCCACTCTTCCAGAACTGAGGCAAAATGGAGCAATGGAGGGCGAGCAATGAATTAAATCTCCCCCCAAGCTTTATGAACATGTTAGATTGTTTTGATGTGTGTTACTAAATATCATCAGTTATTACCTTGTATGTGTATTTATTTACAAGCTTAAAAACATGTGTGCTTATGCATGTTTGGTTGTGTGGAACTGTGATATAATGTGTAGAATAGAGTATAAGAGAATGGCTTTTAATAACATTGGGATAGAGACGATGCCTTTTGCTTTGGTGCAGTACTAGTGATCAGGAAAACACTGCAGTGGTGCTGGTGGTGTTTTTCACTAAGACACTGAGTGTGTTGTAGCTTTTAGAAGCTTCGGGTCTACTACACTGCAGATGCATTGATGCATGTTATTGATTCCCCTGAACTTGCTCTCTGTTTATATATTTATATATGTATATATATGGATCTGCATTTTTCCTGACCCTGTGTATTTAATACATGTTGTTCATGTTTCCTTTTTAGTTGGTGATTCAGACAGATATTTTATTTTCTAAGTTGACTGCGGGCTTTTAATGCAACCATCTCAGTCTCATATAAATAGTGTCAATATTTATCATATCACCAGTGCCATCTTTTAGGTAGTCCTGGATGTCATTTTTATAAGGACTGATAATTGCAGCGCCACCAAACCCCCCAAATCTGCCTGTGTCATCCGGTTCCCATTAGTGCTGCTGAGACTTTTCTCCTGTTCCCATAAGTGATACCAGAGAATTATGGTATACCCTCAGTTTGCAACAGGAAATGGAGCTCTGCTGGGGTTAGAAAGGTCATTAGCTCAACAGAGAAAGACAAGCTGCATTTCTCTGCTGCTGCTCTGCTTTTAGCCGGCCACAGATTTTTATAGCTCTATAAACTCTTGGAGTTGCTTTATTTTTCCCCTTTATGTGGAACTAGCCTGTTATGTAAAGAGGATTACACATTATTATGAAGGTATGGGCTATTGGATCTGTTTTGGACAGTTAAAAGTGGATGACTCTTGCTTCTACCTGGTTTGGCTTCAGAGTGCCCTCAGTTCATTCCTCAGGATTCCGGGTCCATACTGGCAAAACCGCATTACGCCATTTGTACAAATTTCTAACCTTGACATCTATGATAAAAATGTCCAGTTCCACCAAATCTAAAAGAGTTCGAAAACCATTCGGAAGGGAAATTTGAGGTTGTGATTCATATTATTGGTCTTCCAAGGCAGTCAATGTAGTTTAATCCTGCCGTTCTGCTTGAAAGTTAGACAAGTTTTGGATTCAAAGATCGTATTCCACATCTATTGGCTTGTTATAGAGGTATTTGAAAATCAGGCTGATCATTCACCTCTTAGAACAACAAGACATCCACACAATAGGTACTTTCTTTCTTTTCATACATTTCTCTCTGAATCTGAGACATAGCTTTAAGTGTAAACTGTCTATATCTGAAATGTTTATACCAACTGATAAGGCACAGTCATGCTATGTTCATTGTCTGGTTATTGCTTGTTCTTTATTCTGATGCTAGGCTTTTTTTTAGGCAGATAGCATCTGCCTCCTCTAAACGCCTTAATGTGTTGTTGCCATGTGATGAGTTAATTCACTGTTGATATTAACCAGTTTAAGTATGCAGTGTATCTTATAAAGTTGTCAGTTTGTATTTGGAAATTAATGATTTCAGTGCTTTGTTTTTGTCTTTTCTCTGTGTACCTCTCTGAGGAGGCAGTGAAATATAATAGACATGTCTTGCTAGCACCAACGTGTGTTACAGAGCACTTGCATATGGTTTCACTTTTATCATATTCTCAATTGTGAGATTCAATATCAAACCTTTACAATGGCGTACCTGCTCCCAATGTATTTGTTGTTTTGCTGCGGTACCTACCAGCTTATACTAGAGTGTCTTCAGAGTTATAAGTGTTGTAAATATTACATTACCGGGTAGATTTCTTACACAACTCTTAGTCCATTGCTATTTAGAGAAACAATGACTAATTTCCTTTGACAGTTTCTGTACAGGTACTTGTATACAAAACTTTGCAGCAAATGATTTTAGATTTGAATCATGTTCTGTTATATCAACACAAATATATTTTAATGATTTATCTA